CAGCAATAGTACATGACAAAAATTAACATAATTGTTGACAACACGAGAGAGTACATGAAGCATGCAGATGGTCAAGAACACATACAACTCGAGTGGACGAGAACAGGGGCTCAAGAAATTACCTTGAAGAAAGCGCGTTGAATAAGAGAGCGGCAAATAAGTATCATGATATGAGTGACAAGCTACAGAAGTGGGCGTGTTAGACTCGGAAACACGACAGAAGAAACGCACGAGAGGGTATGGGGACCGTGTTTGAGGGCCGGGATGCACGTCTGTTGCCTTGGTAGGCAGTCTGTCCTTGTCAGAGGCCTTGGTGCTGATGTCCGAATTGTGACGGGGAGACGACAGGCGGCGAGAGGGTGGTGCATCATGACGGGGAGAAGGTTGGCAGCGAGGGGAAGTCAGGCGAGAGACGCCTGTCTCTTAAGTATCAGAAGCTCTGGCATTCCAAAGTCCTTGTGCTTCTTCTACGCCCTTTTGTCCTTTCACCCGTTCCCGCTTCTCTGGTTCTCTTGCTTCTCCCGAACCTCCCGAACCGTCATGAGCTGTCTACTTCTGCATTCAGACATTCTGGGATAATGAATCTACGCTACACAGTATATATATTAGCTTGTGGTGTGTGGTTGATTTTGGATGGTCGCAGCCAAGTAGAATATAGGGGAGTTGCCGCATTTGTCATCGGAGTCTGAAATTGAATTCGCGACGCTATCAATTTTCTCTTTCGAGTCCCCTTTGTTTCTTCGCCGCTCCGCATGTGCTGTCACACATACAGGAAGTCGCTCTTGGGCACAATAATTGTTCTGGGTGCTTCCCTTTGACAGAATATGGTGGATTCGGCTCCAAAAACTAATGCCCACCTAACACACTACCATGAGAAAGAGCTGTGCATGTGTGGGTTACTAACCCTAACCTTAGCCCGGAGTAGTGCGCCAGCGCGTACAAGCCCGGTGTCAGAGTGTGAGTAGTCTTGTACTCGGGTATCAAACATATACGATTCTGGCAAGGCAGCGACATAAATATAGTGATGATGACAAGCTAACTTGATGCCTTGCCAAACGGCACCCCATTTAGACAATATCTCACATGGCTTTACAATTCGATCTCGAACCTCACAGTGCCTTGCACGCGCGATTCGAGTTCTGCAGACCTCCGGTATAATTTACAAGAGCTCGTATATTAATGTAATTTCTCAGAATGCATGATAAGGTCAACACTATTCTGACAACAGCCACAGTGGTCAATTGTCCGGCCGCACTTTCTGTGATGTTGAGCACCTGTGCCAATGACCAGCTCGAGGTTGGTTTTGGTTTGTGTCGATGTCGGGAACGTTATTGAGAGCGCCACCAGGACCTTAGTCAAAGTGTATACAGCACCTATATTTTCCATTATGATCACTTTCGTTGTCGGTGTCGAGGCCTGCTGAGCGAGCACGAACTAACTGTCCACCCTCGGTTTGGCCCGCCGAACCTATAGGGGGGGACAGACGGTTATGGAAGGTGCGTTAAAACTCCGACTTTCCACGCCACCGCGAACCTAAGGTCGAAAAACTACAGTACTAGACATCCACAACCTCCTCGTTAAGGAGTGAGTAAAACCGTCCAACGATCAAGATGTTTCAACTTGAAACACTCCTTAGAAAGCAAAGATGATAAAGGATTGTTATATTGAGCTTGCTAGTGCTCCGTGTTTGTAGAGCTGGCGCGGTGATGCATTGACGTCGGAGATCTCCGTTCCGATGACGCGTCAAAATACAACTTCTTTGAATTGGCTTTCATCTCCCCCATGATGATGCTCATTAGCCTCATACGTCCAAAACTAGTAGTATTGCAATTGTGCTCGGACCACTCAGCTTCATGTGCTTTCCCGCTTAGCAACATGATGCTGTTCACTTGGGTTGGATATGGGAATCAACCTTCGCAGACAGTGATTCATGTCATCCTCATCTCACGATGGCTATGAATCCAAAATTAAGGCTCCGGGATACGTGCCAATGTCATAATAATTCAAACCTTAGTGCAACCCAGCATCGGAAGTGAAAGATAGGATAATAACAAGAGGACGTCGCTGTGGTATTGCCTCATCAGCGTGCCTATCAACTTGTATCAAAAAGGCTGTCAGGTTTGGACACCAACAAGATCGTGGGTGCAGAGATTACCACCTCATTACAAAAGGCTGCTTCCATCCGATTGCCTCAATTATACTCCCTTCCAGTTATATTCTGCCTGCCTGCTTTCTGTTTGCCTCTTTTCTCATAGAAAATGTCAATGAAGGTGGATAACACGTATGTGTCTTTAGTCTATCGTGCGTGGTAACTGTCTAACCCATCTATCTCCTAGTTTAGGTGCCGAGTTCATTGGAGTTGTGGTCTCCGCAGTGTTGGCTCCCCTGTTATTTACTGAGAATGTGTCCATATGCTTACCCTTTCATCACGGACCTTAGTCTCTATGGAGGTGTGTATCAATTGTCCATGGTAACAGTGTCTGCTAACTTCTATCAGTTACATGCCTTCAGACATGGTTTTACTTCACCAATTATGCAAAAGACGGATGGCCAATGAAACTCTTGGTATATCCACCATGATGTGAATAATTTGATCATATTTTTAACGTTTAGAATTGCCTCTGCAGGTTGTTGCAGTTCTTTGTTCTGATACTGTGCACCAGGCTTTGATCACGCACACAGGTGGGTAATGATCCCTTCTTCGGCTCAAGTGTAACTGGCTCATGGTGGCTATAGCCTACACGTATCTTGTCTCAAATTTCAATAATACTACTGAGCTGACAAGGCTTGTGTGGTAATTCTACTTATTACTGAGAAAAAGTTCGTGGGTTGACAGGTTTTGGACCTCCTTAGGAGCTTAATTGTAAGCTGCTCCGGATACTTCATAACTCATGACTTCGAGTTTTCAACGTTGTATCTAGGTTGAAGTTCTTTTCAATGGTCTTACTGCTCTCATGGTTCAAAGGTATGGGTAAAAGTCACAATTTAATAATTATGCTTACCAAATAAGTGTTGATAGCTTCTTAGCCTGGCGTATCTGGAAATGTGAGCATCGAACATGATTTGATGTTGATGCATTGTTCACTTCTGTAGTGAGCAATGGTTGCATTTGGCGGACTGGCTCTGTGGTATGACAGCAATTATGTTGGTGTTTGATCCCTTGTTTCTCAGCGGTTTAATAGATGGTTCTGGTTGTCGGAGAATTTGGTAGGTTGCTGAAACCTTCATACAAAGAGACAGCACTTATACCTCGTTTGCATAGTCTGTGTTGCGAGTGAGTGTTTTGAGTCAGATTTTCTGAAATTGGCTAACTGATGGCCCATTAAGTCTATGTTGCCAAAGCGTGAGTTACTCTAACAAATGTGGTCATGAAATCGTTGACTGTAGTGTGTAGGATCAACTTTGAGACCTTTGCGCAGTTGATGGCTCTGAAGGTTAGATCGCTGCGTAAGTTAAATGCCGGTGATGCTTATATCTGTATACCACCAGTCGTTGTCCATGACCGTGAATGCTGTTGCCGCGGCTGGTGATATTCTCATCACAGCTTGCCTGTGCCACCTTCTTCACGGAGTTAGAGCTAGTTTTTTGAGGTAAAGTCACATGTGTTCAAATTAGAAGGGATGGGATAATGATCTCGGCGTTTGGTTCTATAGGTCAGAAAACTTGATAAACAAGCTGGTTCGTGCTATCTTTCAACTTTCCACCTAAAACGGCCTCAAAACCATGGTTGACCGTCAGATTATTTTCACCATTAATACTGGCTTGCTGACGAGGTTTGTACTTTCTGTCTTTTTCTCGCGGATCAGGCTCTTAACCCTTGGTCTGACACCAGCTTTTGTGCCATTGCTTCCCTACTGTCGGTGAGCTGCTAGCAGCTTCTACCATTTCCCTTCGAACTGACCCAAATCCACAGATTGCTGCGGCTCCCGATACATTCATTTACATCGCATTCTACTTTTGCCTTGGGCGTCGTAAGTGGTCAGCTTCTTTTGTACTTACACATTCCATCCTAATTGTCATCACCTAGTCTACTGCAACTCCCTCCTGGCTACTCTCAACGTGCGCAGATTCCGGCGCGAGAATGCGTGGGAAGATATACCCCTCTCCTCTGAGAGAATGTCAAACAGACCCTTGGCGGCTGATGCTCTTGCTCTACAGGTGTGCTAGCTCTGAACTTGGGGGTGCAGATGCGATGCTGATGCCAACTGCGCAGCAAAAGATCGAGGTCAATACTACGATCGATCATGAACTCAACCGCCCAGGTGTAAGTTGTTGCAGTAGCCGGAAAATCTAGTGCTATCACTAATTCAGCCAGCAAGTATCGGAACATTTAATAAGGCGATAGCAGTAGAAGCTTTGTGACTGAAGTTTCAATCATGCAGGTGTCGCGCGAGGAAATATTGGTCTGCGTTCGGAGTGTCATGATGCTGATGTTAAGATTACCGATGTTTCCCTGTTGTTGCCTGCCTTTTGTTTGTATGAAGTGCTGTTGTTGCGGAGAGTGGAGCAGCACCCGCAGCCCAACGCAGACAATACGACGAGCTCGTGTGCACATTGATGTCCTGGACGTCATAGCTAACTAGCTACAATGGACATCACAGAAAGTAGGGAAAAATTATAAGTATTATGATGTGAGCGTACTTACGATCGTCACTATGGGCTACGATAGAGGCCCATCGTGAGAAAGGGAACATTATGAGGGTGGACTCGGGCACTATACTATAACGCTCGGTCCGACAGAGAATTATAGACATGCACCGTAGGAATGCGATGTATTATAGCCAACTATGGATGGTCATCCAAAGAGTCGTATTCAATGTAGACGCCCAGTGATTTTGCACGGTATAATTTCATATATTATAGAGTCTTGTCAAGTTAGTCACCTACATTATAGAGATCTGCTTCTCCAGCTTCTCTGCTTCATGCCTTCTCTTATGCTTCTCTGTCCGTCTTCTCTTCTCCCAAACCTCCCGAACCACTGCAAAGTGGTGTTCTATCAAATTCCGACAAACGAATCAACAGAAGCAGTCAGAGGGCCCGGATTGGATTCTAACTGTTAGTACTGTTAACATGAAGTGATGTGCGTGAGCTTGTTGTTCCTCAGCCAAAATAAGGTGCCGCAAGCGCTCTTTACAGTAAGCGAGCATTAAATCGATATTGTTTTTGGAGCCGTTCTTAGGCTTCAGTAGCAAGTAATTATAACAAAGAAGTAAGTACTTGTTTAATAATTAGATCGCACCGACCGATATGTGTCCAAAACATATGATATGTTAAATTTTTGGGCGAGTGGCAATCGGCGGGTACATTTGCAGCACCAACACAGAAGCAAGCGGCGAGAATGCCAAGTGCTGATCGTCGCATACCTCCAAAATGTGCAGTGTTACACCATTTAGGCACACAACAGTGGCGTACCTTTTTTTAGCGCAGCTACAGGAGTCAAAACACCGAGGATACTGATCGTCGTTTGCCTAAAGCATTTCCGATACACCCTCTTTAGGCTAGTGAGAGTGACGTTGGCGTGACACAAGGGTCCCAAGCATATTTAAATATTCAAGCTTCAAAGCTCGATCGCGTCCGGAAAGAAGCACCCTTTGAATTCCTTTGGCCGAGTCCAGCAAGAGGTCCGTGCGTGCGCCACCGAGGCAAGATGCCTCTTAACATCACAGAGTCTGTGATGCACCCGAAGAAACCTCTCTTGTTCCCCCCGTTTCACTTCGTCGTACCGAGGACTCTTTGAATGAAGAGTCCATCTGTGTTGTGAGTCATCCATTATTTTATCAGGCTATCACTGATTCATTCTCATAAACCAATACAGACTCTGGCTACCGAGATTAATGATTCCTAGGGCAATGAGCTTGAGCGCCCAATGAGCGCGGTGACCAGTGTACCAGAACGTCTTTACAGAGCATGTAGCTCAAGTTGTACGTCCTCTCTATTTTCTTATCAGTTTACTGCTGAATCTCCCGCCCATTCATCCTACACTGGCGTTGCTTATACAGCCCCTCAGTTATCAGCGTCAAGTTCGTCCACCCCTCCACACGACTCCAAGCCCCAGAAAGCTTGTAGTCCTGCTCTCGACTCGCGTGATGGCTCAAAGACTCGAGTCTGTGACCTCAACTGCAAAGCAGGCACCGGTAAAGGAGAAGCCACTGTTGAAGGTTCCCGCAAAGATTCCCGCAGCGTCGACGCTGGCAGAGTTGGGATCTCGGAGCAGAGTATATAGGTGAGTAGCCACGGTCCTCGTTTTTGGCATTCCATTAATTGTATTCTTTCTATGTGTATCTAAAGTATGCAACGCTCTCCTAATTATTACCTTCTCCTCACATTTCCAATTCTTGTATGCTGACTTGTGTACTCGACCATGTCTACACCGTATATTTTGATGCTTTGACCTGTACTATACAATGTACCATCAATTCTAATAGAATATTGTCGTCTTGATCATGCATTTTGTGACTTGAGTATCATTATAGACCTGAGCTTTGCGTGTAATGCCATGTAATTTCGCAGCCCTTCTATCATGCTCGATCGTGTCAGCCTTACTCTATCGTGCACGGTCATATCAGCTTCACTCTATAATGCTGTATCGTAACTGGGCTCAAAATATGAAACTTCGAGGTCTTCCGTAATGAAAGTTGGACCTGTACTTCGGTGATATGCATTATGGTCATTGTACTGTAAGTTAATACATGTTTGCTATGTACAATATCTCCCTAGTTTTTGTGATGGATGTACGGTAAAACCACAGATAAATAGGAATCTTCTGGTTCCTCAGTTTCAAGTGGCAAACAAAAAACAGATCACACGCCTGCCTATCGCCAGTAAGAGTGCACTCGGACGGTAGTGTTATTGGAGTTAAGTACTTGCGTTGGGGTAGCTTTCGCCTATTAATCGACAGGAAACAGGGATCGGTGTCATGACCTTCAATATTAACTTGTACTGGATCAACTAGGAATAAGAACGGAAGATTGTAATTTGTGATTGTGGTGCGTGTCGTCATTAGCGAGTGGCTGTGATGGACTGACGATCGACCGTGTTCGAGTCGCGCTGTCTCTTCAAACCACTCTCTCCTCGATACCCAACACCTTTCGTCGTCATCTCTTGAAGTTGCCCGCTTTCATACCGCGCATACACCCGTCCAGAGTTGAGCATAACAAGTCAGGATCTAGCTCGGTCTAAGTAGCGGGTGGAGACTAGTGTTGAAGTGGAGCTGACGACAGGCGTCTATGTCATTCTCGAGCACCATCCCGCCAGTCGCCTGATAAATCACGCTCCATATCTCAGTTCGTACTTTATCTTTGTTTTTCTCTTCAAACTTCATCTTAAACGGTATCTGCAGACAACTCCTAGGCCAACACAATGCACGTCCCACTGATAGGACGTCTCTCCATCAGGGAGTACACCGCGCTCATCGCCGGCTTCTCCCTCCTCGCCGTCGAAACCATCCTGCGCTTCATCATATTCTTTCTCCCCAAACCCGTCATCAACTGGTTCTACGACCGCTCTCGGTTCCTCTTCCACCGATTTGCGGCCCCGCGCAAGCCGACGTCCAAAGAACAGTCCACCTCCCATGCGATACGCATGGCAAGGGACTTTGGAGAACTGTGCGCACTGTGGGAGTACGAGTACGAGGAACACGTCGTTCTCACCAAGGATGGGTACTTGCTTGGCCTGCATCGCTTGCCAGCGAAGAGGAGGCAGGGGCGCGGGACGGGGACGAGCACGGGCAAGCCGGTGGTGTATCTCCATCACGGGCTGTTGATGAACAGCGAGGTGTGGGTTTGCTTGACGGAGGCCGAGAGGAGTTTGCCGTTTGTACTTGCGGAACAGGGTGCGTTCCCTCTTTTCCTTCTGCTGCCTACAGGAGATACTGAAGTAGAAGTTGGCGCTAGGCTTTGACGTGTGGCTAGGCAACAACAGGGGGAACAAGTATTCCAAGAAGTCTATCCACCACGACCCCAACTCGACGCAATTCTGGAACTACTCCATCGATGACTTTGCCTGGCATGACATACCAGACTCGATCCAGTACATCCTCGACATCACTCGAGTTCCGAGCCTTAGCTACATCGGTTTCAGCCAGGGCACGGCACAAGCACTCGCGGCGCTCAGCATTCATCCGCCTCTCAACGAGAAGGTCAACGTGTTCATTGCCTTGGCGCCGGCTATGAACCCTGCGGGTTTGAGCCAGCCAATCGTGGATGGCCTGATGAAAACATCGTGAGTATTATCCTTTTATTCTCTCGATTTGAGTTATTGATGTCGTGAGCAGACCAACGCTCATGTACCTCCTCTTCGGGCGCAAAGCCATACTTTCCTCGGCGCCGAGCTGGCAGGCGATCCTCTACCCGCCGATTTTCACGTGGGTCATCGACGCGTCGCTTACGACGCTGTTCAACTGGCGCTCGCGCAATATCGCCCCCGAGCAGAAGCTCGCTGCGTACGCGCATCTCTACTCGTTCGCCTCGGTCAAGTCGGTCGTACATTGGTTCCAGATCATGCGCGAGGCTGCGTTCCAGATGTACGATGACGACGTGTCGGCGTTTGTGAGCCCGCATGCGCCCGGGGCGTATAGGGCGTACAGGCCGGCGCGGTTTCCGACGAAGAATATCAGTACCCCGGTGGTGCTGCTTTATGGCGACGCGGACAGTCTGGTGGATATCGATGTGATGCTGAAGGAGCTTCCGGCGCATACGATTGCCAAGAGGTTGAGGGGGTATGAGCACTTGGACATTTTGTGGGGGCAGAACGTGGATGAGGACGTTATCCCGGAGGTGTTGAATGCGCTCGGGAAGTATGCGGATGTGCCCGAGGAGCAGGAGGACGCGGATGTGGGGACGGGTAAGATCAGCATGGACCGGTGATGTCGATGGATAGTGAACATGTTCAATGGACGATCATGCGATAGTGGTATAAACTCAAGTACACTTCTAGTACATAGAAACCCTGTAATGCATACGTATGTAGCTCGCGCTATAATATACCCAATCGTGGTATTTCGTCATGAGTCTGACCGCGAACGTTTTTTCTTCGAAGGTTTCTCCACGGCCGCTCCTCCTTCCTCCTCGCCTCTCTCCCTCGAACGCTTGTCCTTCTTCCGCTTCTTCTCCCGCTTGCTCCCGTCTGTGTCCACATCAGCGGCCACAGGCGACTGCTCCCCGGAGGTGTCCTCGACGTCAGTGGACTTTTTGGATTTGCGCTTCTTGACCGTGGGCGCTGAAGCTGGAGTCGAGGCATTATCCTCGCCTTCGTTTGTGACAGCGGGAGCGGAGCCCTCAGGCTTCTGCTTGTTCTTTTTACGTTTCTCTTTTTTCGATGACTTGTCCTCCTTGCCCTCGTCGACAGGAGCGATTCGTTCCTCGAGTGCCTTCTGCTTGTCCTTTTTCCGCGATTTATCTTTTTTCTCCTTCTTTTCCTTTGATGGTTTAGGCGTCGATTCTGACAGCGGCGGAGCAGTATCAAGGAAGGGAGAAGAAGCCACCTCGGCGGCCGCAGCTGCGGTAGATGAAGAGGCCATCTCGAGCACAGTTGCGTGCGAGGATGCAGAGGTGGTGAAGAACTGGGCGAATGCGCTGGATTTCATGCCTAGTCCAGCACGAGGAGCTGCGTCGTCATCGGGGCGCGAGGAAGACGAGGCGCCGAGCCCAGCGCGGCGAGGGGTATCTTCTTCATCGTCCTCGAGGGTGCGAGTTTTGGATCCGAGCCCGAGTCTGGGTAGGACGTCGTCTTCTTCTTCAGCGTCGGAAGAGGGGGTAGAGGTTTTGGTCAAGGGAGAAGGGGCGGAGCTCGCTCCGCCTGAGCGAGCCGCGAGCTTGGCTTTGAAGTAGTCGGCGACGCTGGTGCTCGAAGTGGTGAGCTTTTCGAGAGGCTCTGAAACATCTGCTGGGGCGGGAGTTTGCGAACCGCTGGCGCTGGGGGTGCCTGGGGTGGTCGCAGGTACGGAGGAAGGCTGGGATGTGGACGCAGAGGTAGAAGGGAGAGGAGCGATGCCGAGGATTTCGGAGATGGCTGCAGCAGATTTATTGGCGAGACGTTTGGAGGCTTGTAGGCGGGCACGATGTCTGAGTAGTATAGATAAGCAAAACAAAACGTGCATAGGAGACTGAGCATGAACGTACGCCATGGGTCGACCTTTAACATGGGCTGTAGTTAGATTTGTGGTCGTTGTAGTGGTGGCTATGGTCGTGGTCGTGGTCGAGATCTCTACAGGTGCTGTAGCAGGCGTTTCGTCTGGTGAAGAGGACTCGGATTTCTTCTGCTTCTTCAGCTCCTTGGCCTTGCGTTTTTCCTCCTTCCGTTTCTTGCGGGCCTCCTTATCCTCCTTCTCCTCCCCGTCGAGACCTGCGTCCTTACTCGACCGCTTTTTCGACCTCTTTTCCTTCTTCTCCGCCTTCCCGTCCACCTCGGCCGCCGCAACCCTTGCACTAGACCCATCATCGCCCTCTCCCCCAAGTTCACCTGCTCCCGCGCGATCGCCGCCCTCGCCTCCGTCGCCTTCTTCGTCTGAATTTTGTATGGGCGTAGCAGCGTTGCTCTCGTTTAGTCGGCGAAGGAGAGCTTCGAAGTCTTTGTTCTGCTTCCATGCGATCCCGTGCGGGTCCCGAGCGTGCGCAGCGCCGATCCCGAGCATGTCGAGCTTGTGAGAGACTTTGAGGTGCGACTTCATGCCTTCGCCAGAGGCACCAAGGCCCTGCGAGGGGTCCCAGCCTAGCTTGGAGAGGTAGGCCTGTCCGAAGCGGGCAGCATCTGAGAGATCGAGAACGCGTTAGCTGTTGACCATGCGATGGGGAACGAGGATGGGTGTAGAAGAGGACCGACCATCTGACCAGGTGAGGTTGCGAGGGTCGTTGGGGATGCGCTGCTTGGTTTTGCGGCCTGCGAGTCCCATCGCTGCGCTTAGGGGAGTGCGACGAAGATGGAGGAGGGAAGGAAAGTGGCCGGCGTCGGGTTCCCTTACCGGGTGGGCGGCTTCCGTTGCGCGCGACAGCTTCAGCCTTCTTGCTCTTCGCAATCTACACCAATCGATAATCCCGCCATGATTTTCGTTCGTCGAAAGAAAAGCGCCATTCTGTGGATAGTCGCGTTCTTAGCACTCAGCTTCTCGTCCATGCTCTGCCTGTTGATCCTCAAGTTCGACTTTCATCTCCCACCCTCGACTTCCGATATCGACCTCTGCGACAACGCGAAGAAGGCTTTCTCTTCCATCGATCGCATTATTGAAGATAACATCAGAATCAGCTGCTCTGGCGACTTGTGTCGACGACTAAGTCTTCAGGATTCTGACAAACGCCGTCCACGGGAGATCACTTCCACACCAAAGAATACCTCGCTCTTAGAGGCGAATGCTCCCGCCGGGCACTCTCCGCTCACGGAAACTATGGCTAATTTGACGTGCATCGGCTCTGAGGTCGACCTCTGCTCTGTTCTTGCCGGCAAGCGGCTTCTCATGGTCGGCGGCGAGCACATTCACAAGCTACATTCACGCATCCTCGAGCACCAGGAAGAAAAGGAAAAGCGCTCATTTCCGTGTCTCGGCCGGGACTTCTGTACGCATCACCATATCTGCTTACCGCCCTCTACATCTACGTCTGGCAAGGATGAGCCGCGGTACGCCAAGTCACCTTCTCGCGTGGAACTGCAGGCAACAAACTCGGTGCTCATGAGCTTTATACTCTCCGATTATCTCCTTGCTACACCTAACGAGGCTTCTTGGGAGTACAACAGCCCGGTGCTTGACCCACTCAGCGGTGCAAGGGTCCGACAGGGATTTTGGTGGCACCCTGCTCAAAAGGCAGATGTTCTTGTTCTCGGGCGGGCACCGGGCAGCTTGCCGTTGGGCACCTACTCTGGAAACTGGACAGTCCTAGATGATGTACCTCACTATCAAGTGCAAGGTTTGACTTCTGGCTGGGCACCGGATGATTGGGGTGTTGCGTTGACTAGGCTGGTTGACACTTCTCTTCATACAACGTTGCACACTTTCTTACCCCAAGTAGCCACAACACTTGATGCTGTGTCAAACCTCACCCATCTCTTGCCTAGACACACTGTTTGGGTTGGCAAGTCCTTTTACCAGGTACAGATGAAGCTTTGCTCAAAGAGGCCATCAGAACCATGCATGCCAGATTTTTCTTGCCCTTCTCAGTTTCTTTCTAGCACTGATCCTTGGTCAGTCTATCATAATCTCCAAGGTTAGCCGTTATTGTGACGGATTTAACATGATAACTAACATTAGAAAAGTTCATATGCAGATTATTGTTCTCAGTATTATTTTGCCTTTGTATAATATAGACTTGCTAATTAATTAATGTAAATGCTGGTTACATAGGCCAGCTCTTCTTTTTTCTTTGGGTCCCTAAGTCACAATGGGAAAGATACTGATGTTGCACCTAGTCAATTAAATTTGCCTAAAGGGAATATAGTTAGAATCCCAAATTGAGGGTTAGTCAGTTAGGTCACTGTGAAGGGCTGGTAGAGGAAGTCACAACCTACATTTTAGTTACTCCATTAAGCATCTGTAAATCTACATGATGGGCCCATGCACAGCACTAGGGCATTGTGAATTCTGGATAATAAAAAAGCAGACCAATTGCAGACCATTTTAAACTCCATGCCTGCCTAGAAGGGGATAGGACATTCACTTTGAGCTTTATTAGGAATACCATGTTCTCGAATGCCAATATTAGTGATCTCAGAGCTCAGAAGCCTAGGGTTTTTTTTTTCCTGCTGAAATCCTGTTTATTGTCATATAAGGCCTCCACCCTATGCTAGATGTGATGAACTAGTGCAACTATAGGAGGTTCTGGGTCCTTGTAATGTAACAAAGAGTGAGGATGGACATTGGTCCACAAGGGCAGAGAGGAGGGGTTAGAAATGTATGTTGTATGGTACTATAAAGGACTTTCAGAAAAGGAGAAAGAAGGCACTGAATTGCATGAAGGTGTTGTAAAGTAAACAAGACAACTTTTCATAGGAAGAGCATATTTTGAGTTTTGTAAATGTGTGCAATATGTCGAAGATTGAATGCGAGTATAGCTGAGAAGTCTACAACAGCGCAGACTCACCAGGCATTAGTTGAAGGTTGAGTTAGTAGCAGTTAGGCTGGTAGGCTGACGATGATAGTTGTTCGGGGTAGAAAGACACTGTAGATGATATTCGTGGTAGCGACTGTATATATATGACAGGAGCGTGTGACAGTAATGCAGGACGGCTACGTAAGCTATGTACATGGCTCAGTGCAATGAACGTGGAGCCACACGAATGCATGAATGTGTAAGGCGCTAATACTACCTACTGGGGTACCTAGCACCTGTGTAGATGTATGAGGTGGTGTTTACTTGTAGACCTCGTAGAGGAACATTGCCGTACAGGAGGCTTCTGGATGAACCAAGAAAGCTGTAAAGGGTCGAATACTAGACATAATTCTGACACAATATATATTGGAATTGGAGTACAGATCACAGAGAAAGAAAAGGAGACTGAAAATACCTGCACTGGGGTTCAGGCAGGCTTGACATGGGCAAGCTGGGCTAAAATCAGGTGGTCAATAGGATGTATTTCAGTAGAGCCATCGCCACATCTAGTTCAGCAGTTATATCCATAAAGAGGTTGACCAGGTAGTGGCTTGGCATTGCTGTCCTTCCTGACATGGCAAGTATTAATGCCTGGTTGTCCATGCCCAGGCAGAGCCATTGCGTCATTGGATCTCCTGGTGTAAGAGGTGGGTACCTAGTATGAGGCCCACAAGTTTGGCCTCATACACTATATGGTGTGACACTGGTCTCAGGTGAAAGAGGAGGTAGCAAGTGGTCATCCTTCAGACCAGGACAGCATCAGTACCCACTCTGCTGCAGTAGCTCAAACTGTCTGAGTATACACATATAAGCAATATGTCCTGGTTGTGTGCCTCCTTGTCTGTGTCTTTCAATTTTGATATAATGGTGGTGTGTAGCAGCATCCATTCTGGGGTGCATCATACTGGCATGATGGTCTCCACATCTCGACATCACTAACCTTGCAGCTAATAAGGCTGCTGTTCCTGCCTCACTACGGCAACCCTATTAGGCCCTTTCCCATCAAATAATGCCACTGCCAATAACTTCCTGACTATCTTTCCATTATTTTCACTTAGCTTTCTGGCACAGGTAAGTAAGTCCCTTATGTTTACCGCTGACATGATTCCTCCTGTGTAATACCCTTGGCCCAATTCTTGTTAAGTCCCTCCACCCGCTGTTTCCTAGCTTGGCCCCGAGCCTTTCCACTGTCATCCATCCCAGTTGTTTCCCACCCTCCTTTCCTTCCCCCCCATCTCCTCGTCACCGCTGTTCCCTTCCCATTGCTGTTCCCACTGTTCCCGCTGCCCCTTTTTCCTCCCACCTTCATTCAACATGCAGGCCATCAGCAGGAGAACATAGGCAGCCCCCCTCCACCCTCTTCTTGTCAGTTCTCACATCCACACACTCTTTCTTGCCACCTCTCTTTCCCTCCACGGACTCTCTTCCCTCTCCACAGGCTCTCCCCTATCCTGCCGTTGCGCTCAGTGCCCCCCTCCCTTCCTCAAGCATTGCCATGCTTTAGGTGAGGTGGCTCCAGCACTTCAAGACCGTCACTTGCATGTTGTCGGCATCTCACACCTGGCTGTGGTTCTCTTCATGCAGACCACACTCCCCTTCTTTGGGAGCATTGTCAGTCAGATCTGGGTACCCCACGGTGAGTCGCTGGATGTTTACAGTCCCACATTTCTCATCTTTCCCACCTTTCTCTCCCGTCCTTCTCATCTCAATGCTGTGTTCCCGCTATCTTACGTTCTCACACAGGTGCTTGCTTGCTGCCCATGGCTTACCCAACCATCGCCTGCACACTGGCATCAGCACATTACACTCACCATGTTATCTGCCTCTTCCCGTCCCTTTCACTATACAGTCTATTCAGTGATGGCGATACAGAGGTTTTGGCATCAATACATTATTTTTTCACTAAGTCTGGTGCTTCTGCCATAAAAGAATGGATCAGCTATCAGTGCTAATACTGTGGATGCTGCAGATGCAACCTCGCAAGTGCTAAGTCATCTCTCCTTCGCTTTTTCTCAAGTCCCTTCCAAGTTCCACTAAACATCAAGTCTTCATGTTGTAAGGATGTACACACATTAGTCAGAATATAAGGTCTAGGACAAAACTTTAATGCATGTATAGTGCAACTACTGTAAGTCAAGTAGAGGGGGAAGTGGTGGCAACAGGCTCTGTATCAGTAGTACCCTTCTTCTTCCGGGGGTTCTTCTGAGGGCCATGACATTTTCCCTGTCTGATTGCGGGCATCAGGTGGTCTTGGCAATAACCATACCTTCACCATTCTGTGTAACAGTGGTAGTGCAGAAGTTATCTCGACCAGTGACCTGAGGCAGGGGAGCAGGGGGCCTGAGACCCAGTAAGAAGTGGTCTAGGTCAGAATGAGTGAGATCTAGTTAAAAAAAAAGATCCTTTTGCAGTTCTATTCTTATCAAGTGGGATCAAGCGACGGCTAGAGAGATTGAGTTTCTGGGCTCATGTGATCTGAACGCGTCTTGCGCGCATCTAGTTTTATCTAGTGGCCACTTACAACTAGAATACACTATTATTCGGAATAGCTACATCTAGTATTCAGTATACAGTAGTTTTGAACGCTTCATAGAAAGCCTTTGAGCTCCTCCCTCCGAGGAAAACATTAAGTCCGACCGCTTGACACACACATAACACGGTAAGAAATGGCCCCTGTCTATATGTGTATTGTATGCTCAGAACATACAGACGTACTATGCCTCCAAAGTGCCCTAGAAAGCACTGTATATGCCCCCATCACGATCCTGGAAGTGATAGGAGCCTAAGTCACAGCGATTTTTATTGTCACATCAAAGGATATGATGAAATAACCAGGAGTGTTCTGAAGAGATACAGCTCTGAGCCTCATTCTACCGATCCTCCCCCTCAGATACCGCCGAACCCTAGGCTCGCTCAGGCTGTTTGCGACGCATCTATAGCCCAAGAGGATGCAGAGAACGCACGCGCGAATAAATGAGCTCGTGTGGAGGAAGTTCCAGACGAGGATATGTATCCGCCTCCACCTAGAGATCGTGATGAGATGATGTCGCCACCTCCACCTCCACCTAGAGATCACGACGAGACTATGACTCCACCTCCGCCTCCACCCAGAGAGCCTTACAAGCATATTGTTTGGCGCAGACGAAGAACCTGTGATAGAAAAACCTGAGGGCAATGATCCGGTAAGCTTATACGCCCGAATGAATGATTTAGACTGACCATCTCGTTTGTCTAGCATGAATGGGTTCAATATATGCACAGTAAAAAGGCTGCGGGACTACCAAAGCTGCGATACCCTCCCCCTCGACCGTACCACGTGGTTGATACGGATCTCCTGACTGCCAGAGCTTGAACAAACAAGCAGAAGCTCACCATGAGCTATATGAACAGGCTCAAAACTGCGTCATTCGACGATCCTACAGCTAAGTTGTCGCAGGAACGGCATGATAGACTACAAAACCCACCTGCAGAGCCTGAGGCCATTGACAACCCTGGCGTCAAGATGGGGATCATGACCTATCTCGGGGCCGAGCACTCGTCTCAGGAAACCTACAAAGCTGTTAGAAAAGGTGTCGAAACATGCTACCCCGATGCTAGCCCTATGCCGACGTTCAAACACACTGAGTCTATTATCGAGGAATATACAGGCGTCTCCCCGATCAAATACAACATGTGCTGGGGATCCTGTGTCACGTTTACTGGGGACTTGGAGCATGCGGACGCTTGCCCCGAGTGTCACAAGTCCAGATATGACCCTTTTCTATTCGAAACCACGGGAGAAAAAAGAGCACGTATGTTCAAGATTAATCCTCCAGAGTATATGATCCAGGCACTGTTCAGGAATAAAGAAAGCCCCAAGAACCTTTGATATCGGCATGAACAAAATCAAAGGGTGCTTGCGCTTCGAGCTGAGAACGGTGGCAAGATTCCTCTCTGGGAGGACTTTACAGAATCTCAGGAATATTTGAATGCGGTCGACAACGGATCGATCAGCAAAGACACTGTACTTATTTTGTCTGCTATGGATGCCGCACAGCTCTACCAGTCCATAAAATCGGACGTGTGGATTCTCATCATTACGATTCAAGACTACGTGCCTGATCTACGCTTCAAAAAAAAAGCATGTCCTCATCGCCGCTGTTATTCCTGGTCCGAACCTGCCAAAAAACCTCGACTTGTTTTTATTTCCTTTCTATTATCACCTGGCGGCTGCACAGTGTGAAGGACTCAGAGTATATGACAGTTTTCTGCAGGAGTATCGCACGAAATGGCACCACCACTGGTTTGTGCAAGCAGACAGCCCAGGTCTTACATATTTCAATGGTATGTGCGGCCATTCTGGTAAGAACGGCTGCCAATTATATTGCGGGCTACTCAGGCAATGGAAACAACGAGGCAACACTTACTATCCGGCGCTCTCGAAGCCTCTGAATCATTATGTATGGGGCTCCGATCATCCAGACGTTCCTCTAGACAAGCTCCCTCTTCTTGCTTTGGAGGAATATGCTTGGAATCTACTTGCCGTTGTAAGTGCTCAGACGGAGAACAATTTCAAGTGCTTGCGAAAGGAAAATGGTATCAAGAAGCCCAGTCTTTTACTCAGACTTGACTCGGCCCATACTCTCCCATTCCTCGCTGTCTTACGCCGGATATCATGCACTTAGCTGGTCTCCTCAGCGGGCTCTTTCTCCAATTTTGGCGCGGTAAACTCGAAACTAAAGGCTCGCTTGATGATCTGGCAAAATGGCGCTGGAACTGTCTAGGAATTGACGAGGTTTTTGAGGCTCATGGGATTGACATCGAGCGCGCAGGGCGGCACCTTCCTAGAGGACACGACAGGAAGCCTTCGAACCTCGAGAAATTTATTACCTCTGGCTATAAGACTTGGGAGTGGCAGGTTCTTTTCTTCGCTCTCAATCCTGGACTTCTCTACGATATTCTGCCGCTCAGGTACTGAATTAACTACTGCAGGCTCGTGCAAGGCTTTTGTATCATCTGCCAGCATTCTATCAGCAAAGTAGAACTTTGATAGGCGAAGGATTGCTTTGAATAGTTCTACAGAGGATTCGAAGAGCTCTACTACGAATGTCGAGAGGACCATCTCTGTTTCGTCCGCCAAAGTATTCATCAAACCCTTCACCTCGTCTCAGAGGTGATTCAGAAAGGTCCGCTGATCATTCACTCACAGTGGACCATGGAATGAACTATTGGCAACCTCAGGCAAGAAATTAGGCAGCCGTCTAAGATATATGTGAACCTGTCTCGCGAGGGCATCTGAAGATGTCAGGTAAACTGCCTCATAGCTATGATTCCCTCCCTGGATCCCGAGCCGACCCCCTCGTCTATGCCTTCTGTTGACATCGGAGAAGGCTATGCTCTCTTGCACAAGCGGTCCAAATGCGAGTGGATCCCTGTTGGTGTCCCAAAGGCCGTGCTGGACAACTGGTTGGGGTGCGACTGCGGCAGTATCTGGATGTGGGGGTGCGTAGGCTTTCTGATGGTCAAGTCATACAATCTGCATGGCGCGAGAACACTTACTTGCAGGACAACATTTGGATCTCTCGCAATGTCAAGGTATATTTCATCTGTTTTTGTGCTTAATTCACGCTTTATAGTTGCATAGATCGCAGAGGAGGGTCGTACATATATTGGAAAAGTCCAGTATTTTGCCCAGCTCGACGTGCAGGATGAGGTGACGGGAGAATTGAGATGGGAAGGGGTTGCAGTGGTCGAGCTCTACTCGGAGCCAGACCCTGACCTCCTTACTCTGTCCTCTCATTTGTTCGCAATGTGCAAGCATATGGGTCCTGAATATACTCATGTCATTAGCATCAAGCAAATTACCGACATTGTCGGGATGGTCCCACATCGACCGACTTTGCTCTCGGGAGTGGAAGAGGATCACTTTTTTATGGCCGAAAAACCCGGGCTGGACGTGGCTACATTTCTCGGACATGAAGATGAGGATGAGCAGGACGAGGACGGCATGGACTTTCCTCCAAATGCTGTATAGTAGTATGTTATACATATGTTTTATTCAATAAACAGTCTCCAAAATGCACCTGTGGCTCTCGGCCACCGAGACGAAGCTTTAGAGTTTCATTAACTAAGCGGGGTTTGAATTCCCCGAGGCGCGGCCCTGCATCGCCTCCCCAACGCCTGGTTCCGAG